AAGCTAATTTCAGAATTTATATATTAACGTTAAACTTACCGATACCGTCTCGTATTTATAAGGTGATTACGTATTTAAATCCAACATGTAGATTATGATATTTTCTTTAGACACACAATTATCGTTATCGATATTGCAACAATTATATATCACTACCCACAAATATAATAACGATAATGTTCTGTATTTATCGATTCATTATTATTATTATTATTATTATTATCATATTAATGAGTCAAATGTATATAATGAAATGCTGCTTTTGTATTGTTCATAAATTATTTCATAATTTATACAAGTATAATACTAGAATATTAAAAAAAGACTACGCTATTAATTTTATCGAAAAAAAAAAATGCCTCTCTTTCATCTTTTTTCCCAATCTTAGCTTTATCTAGTGCATTGATTATTGCAAGTGAGATTAAAGGTTAACGTTAATAAAAAAGCTTTAAATGTTATGCTGATGAATTGATATACATGCACATGTGTACTACATGTGCATTATAACGATAATCATTATATTTTATCAAAGTAGACGTTCATCCAAAGTCGGTCATTACGTACGGCTCACAAAGACCAACATTCTCATCAGAATTAACAATGCCAAAGCAGGCTGCCTCCACCTTCGTTCATGTTTCAATTAAACCCGTAAATTACACGCGTCTCTTAAACCTGTCGTCACTCACGATTTTTTAATGAAGTCGCTTGCATCAGTCGGATCAACTTACCATCTTTCCATTTTAGAATCTTTAATAAATCTATCTGCATCATACAGTGATAAACGTCTTGACACACATAATCTCTTAATAAAATCCCTTACGTCTTTTAAGTCAATTCAACACATAAATCTTTGAATATCAAAACCATTTGCCACGCATTACTCGATTGCGTCTGTTGTTGAAACAGTTAAACCAGCAACCACTAATAATGAGAAATCTCTTCCTTATATCGTGGAATCACTTAAATCAGTTCCCACGCATGAACCTTTGATTAAGCCATTTGTGTCATACAAACTTTCGATTAAACCTGTTGCCACCTTTTGAATTATTTAAACCTCTTGTAACACCTTTTCTTCATTCAATGTCTATTATATCATCATCTGAACCACTCGTATTACAAGCAACAAACACAATATTGTCACCAATTGTCCAAGTACAAACTGAGAATCTAATCTCATCGACAACTTCCCCATACACAGAATTCTCGTTTCCTACTTTGGAAAAATCACCAAATTTTACGTCTTCATCATTTGTTACTCCAGTCAATAATTCTATGGTGTTATTGGCTACAATAACGAAAGATAGGGAATCGTCGAGTACAATTAACGAAATATCAATTGAAATCTCTGGTGGGGTCCGCGT